GTTTCAGTTAGTGTAATAATGGACATATTAGCATGCAAGGAATTTAGTAATGCTAGGAGGTCATCATAATGCTTGCTTAAAGATCTGATATTGTAGTTAAAGATAGTTATGTGTTGTTGGCTCTGAGAAGTGCCTTTGATTGTTCTGCTGTGTATAATTACAGTAACTGTTTGAATCATTTAAGTCATTAAATAAGAGGTTGGTATCAGGATCAATGCTTGTAATCATAAGATTTGTAGTGAATCTATAGTTAGAATTAAGTAAAAAATAAAGTAAATATTCTAAAGCTAAAAAAAAATAGCACCTGCATTATTTAACAAATGTAAAAAATAATGAGCTAAGGTAGTCTTTTAAAGCTAAAATAAAGGAGACAATATAAAAGGGACTAAAATAATTTGTGGTGAACAAATAAAGTGATGATCAAATAATGGAGCTTGGGAATATGATAGTAGGCAGTACTTTAAAGGTAATTCTTTAAAGTTAGAATTATAATATAAAATTATAATATAAAAGGGACTAATGTAAGTTGTGGTGAACAATAAAGTGGTAATCAATAAATGAGCTTTGGAGTATAATGGCAAAATAGTGAACTTATTAACTTTAGCACCTGAGAATAGCACCTTGATTAGTTTAACAATTGCGAATATATGATTTAAGGTAGTTATATAGAGCTAAAATAAAGGACAAAAAATATATAAGGGACTACAATTGAGTAATGGTAAACAAGTTAAATGGATAGATAGTCACTATGAAATAATATTGGTTTAGGAGTAAGATCTGATTTGTAATATTAAATAAGTTGAGCAGTTTATTGCACAATAAAAAGTAAAAAAAAATGAGGTAGTTGGTACTAGCTAGCAAAAGATAGTATTGGTACTTGCAAAAAGTAATTGGAATATACACTAATTGCACACACAATAAAAAGTGACTAAAAAAACAAGTAGTGGTAAACAAAATTAAATGGACAGGTAAGAACAATGAAGTAATTGTAATGTCTTGGTTATAATATGATAGTAAGAGGCTAGACAGGTACAAAGATAATATAAAGGTTGGTTTGAATGTCAAACTTTGAAAATTTGGCAACAAAACTGTTATGGAAGTAAAAAAAATAATGTTTAATGTATCAAAAGTACAATTGACTGTAGTAAATATGGTGTTTAACTAAAAATTTTTAGTAAGTAATAATGTTACAAAAAAAGTGAAAAAAAGTAATGTTATGTCCATTCAATATGCACTGGTATTTATACTAGGGTTATATGGCAGTTTACAGTGTAATTAAGAGTACTCTAGATAGTAATGTGGTTATAAACACAGGTGTAAAGGTAATTTAGGACAAGTAATGGTATTTTTTGAATGTCAAAATGTTAGGTAGTAAATTGAAATTATAGTAAAAATATAATATTAATTTTAGTAGGTAATGATCAATTGATAGTATTATAAAAAAATATGAGTAGTAATATGACAGACAAAGTAGCAATTCACTAATGTTTAAGCAAACAATAGTAAATAAGAAAATTAATAAGTGACTTATGCTTACTAGTAAAATTCACAAAAAGAGGTAGTTTTTGATTTATTTAAAATTACTAAGAGATTGTATACAATGATAATTTGGAACAATAATGGAGCCAACATATAAAGTGCGTATACTTTAAGTTGGACATTGTTTAGTTATCTCTGTAAGATATTGATCCTTGAAAAATCGTGATAGATCATTCTCTGTCGTGATTGTATGTACGTTGACCACAAATTTGTTTTCTAACAAGAATTTTCCCATCCGTTAGAAGCATTGGTGTATTGTGCTTATCTCCAACGCTAAGTTTTTTACTCTATACAGGAGGTTCTGTACGTTTTTTGGTAAGACACTGCTGTTTTAGTATACCTCTTTCTTTACTTTAAATAGATCCGAATAATTAAGTCTTTTTTCCTGTCATGTGTAGTGGAACTAAGCATAACACTTTTTCTACCATGGGATTAGTAACCTGGCTTTCTTTATTATCTCAGACTCAGTACAATTAACACTTGTTTGGTACTTATGATCTGCATGTAATTTTCTTTACTGTTTGGTTTGGTTCATATCATGGGAAAAAGTGGACTGCTAACTATTACTCTCCGATATGTTAATCTTGTTCAGTTTTATCTTCTTGGAGAGCAAATAGTCACTGATGGTTTATCTAAGTTGTTCTTTCCATTCTTTTACTGCTTCTTCCAACTTTGTATTAAGTGATTTAATATTTGTTGTGTTATGGGCTTATCTAGTGACTGTTTGGATGGTCTTGTCACAAGTTAGTCTATCCTGGTGTTTTAACTTTTAGTTCAAGACTGAGGATTTGTTCTGTGTTGTGCATCTGGTGTCTGTTTTGTAGCGTCTCACGTAGATTCATATTTTCAATACTTGTTGGAGATGAGATTTTATTTAGGGTATTTGGATCGTTTGTGTCATACCTGATAACTAACTTGGAGGTTGAATCCGGGACGAGAGGTGTTTGAGGATGGGCTGGTGGCAGCCATGTTTGTTGTTATTGTTGTGGTGTCGCCTTGAGTGGTGGTGAGTGGGGTGGTTGCTGGGCCGGCGTCCACCTGGCTACACTTGTTGAATAGTTGATTTTTCGGCGTTTTCTTGCTGGCCTTGGTGCTGTTTCCTCTTAGATTGCGCCTCATAATACTACAGGAATTGTTGTAGTTAAGAAGAAGTTGTAGTTATACAAAGTTTAGGGTTACGTTGTTCTTATGAGCCAGTGTTGGTGACGTATTAATATGCCCAAATTCTAGAGGCTTCAAATCTAGTGGGAGAAAGCTGGTAGGCCTACATGAGAGAGAATGGGTCTGTGTGGTCAGTGTGAGCAGTATAAAAAAAATTGGGGAGCCAGTGGTGCATTGTGGGAATGCCATTTCAGTAGTCCTTGTTCAGCATGTCTAGTGGTAAGAAACAGCTGACTCCCCGGTGAATCTGGGACTCTTTTCTTCCCACGTGATAGCTCTAACACAGCTGGAAGTATCAGTGAAGATGAATTTCGTGATTTTGAGGAGTTTGTGACCGAAAGCAATGCTCAGGAAACCAGAAGGAAGGAAGGAAGGAAGGAAGGAAGGAAGAGATGAGAAGGAAGGAAGGAAGAAAGGAAGGAAAGAAGAGATGAGAAGGAAGGAAGGAAGAAGGAAGGAAGGAAGAGGAAGGAAGGAAGGAAGAAAGGACACCCCAGACAACCATCAACCTAGGATAACCCAAAAAAGTCAAAGTGACTTATTTCCTTGTGGGTGGTGGGGAAGACACCATGCTTGTTGGAGAAGAGGGTGTGCGTAATAGGTGGTGGTAATGCGTCATTGTGACACCAGCCACGCTGCTCTCAGCACATCCATAACAAAGGGGGCCACCCACACACAACCACCTTCCAGAAGCTGTAGCAGTTCTAGAAACGTGTCCAGTGACTATATTTTTTTTTTTTTTTTTTAACAAGTCGGCTGTCTCCCACCGAGGCAGGGTGACCCAAAAAGAAAGAAAATCCCCAAAAATAAAATACTTTCATCATCATTCAATACTTTCACCTCACTCACACATAATCACTGGTTTGCAGAGTGCTCAGAATACAACAGTTTAGAAGCATATATGTATAAAGATACACAACATATCCCTCCAAACTGCCAATATCCCAAACCCCTCCTGCAGGCACTGTACTTCCCATTTCCAGGACTCAAGTCCGGCTATATAAAAATAACCGGTTTCCCTGAATCCCTTCACTAAATATTACCCTGCTCACACTCCAACAGCTCGTCAGGTCCCAAATACCATTCATCTCCATTCACTCCTAACTAACATGCTCTGGAATGGATTAAACACGAAAACTCAAGGTCAACTGTAATTCATTCCAGAAGGCTGTTCGAGTGCCATTACTGAACGAATTTGTTCCCATAAGGAATAATGTAAATTAAATTAGTCTGTTTCAGGCCCCCAAAAATACATTTACAAAAGCACTTACAAAAATGCACTTACATAATTGTTCGAGTTGGGAGCTGTTATAATTCGAGGTACCACTGTATATATGTATTAGGTACTGACACCTACTATGGAGAAAACCCTGGAGAATTTCAACTAAATCAACTAAATGAAATTAAAAAATTAGAACTATTTAACAGCTTGGTTTTAAAACAAAACAAAATCAGAATGATGTCAACACCCAAAATTTTCTGCATTTTTACATTCTTACATTTTAGTGAAAATTTCTGCTATAATTTGCTCAAACTCTTGCAAAAGTTCAAGGAATACTACATAATACTGAGAGAGATACAATAGTTGCAACAATAGATACAGCAGATACAACAGCAAGTTTAGAAATGTGCATATGAGATGTGTGTACAGATGATACAGAAGAATGTATATAATAACAGTGTAAGGAAGCTCATTGTACTCTAGTAAGAGAATAATGCACAATACTGTACCTAAGTTCTCAATGATGCCTTAGTCTGGTCTGGTTCTTATTTTTTCAAAATAATTACTACTTTGATATCTGAGACCAAAATTATAAGTCTTTCTTTCAACGTACCAGCCATATCCCACTGAGGTGGGGTGGCCCAAAAGGAAAAACAAAAGTTTCTCCTTTTAAATTTAGTAATATATACAGGAGAAGGGGTTACTAGCCCCTTGAAAATTATAAATATGGTAGTATATACATGTTCTTTATTGTATAATTTTTAGCAAAGATTTAGATATACAGAAGCAAAACAGGTAAAACTAACTCATATACATACAATCTTGCAGCATAAATTTTGCCTAAATGCTGAACATTACAACAATCAGTTTTCAACAACAACTTAAGCACAAACAAAACTACAACTTACAAAACCCACAACCTACTTACCACAAGAAGTGATTAGGAAAAAATCTTACAAACTAGTAATACTTAGGCAACAAATTAGGCCTACAGCCATCAAGCTTACCCCTCGTAGACATACAGACAACCAAAGGCTCCCAGGAGAGATGCTAAAAAAAATATATATATAATAAATACCTTTTTCATTCCATATACCTGAGAAAACCCTCCAAATTGCTCTGCATCAAAGTCATCTACCAGTGGAATACGGGATTTCGTCCCGCCCCCTTCTCGAAGCAGAATTTCAGACAACCAACGGCGAAGATTTTGCTGTGATTTCCGATTGGTCAGATCATGTACAAGAATGATTCCTGAAAGAATGTATAACAAAATAAGTTGTGCAATATTAAATAATAGTGTTAATAACAATAATAGGACAAACAAAACAACAGTATGACAAATGTTTTTATTGATACTTTACTACTGTAACATTACAAAGAGGCACGAAAAATGGCTATACAGTTTGACTGTAAGAGGGAGGAACACATCTACGCTTGAAAAACTTATTATTTTAAAAAAAATTATTTTACCACATTGGAAGGGTTACCCTTAAAGGAAACACATTCACCATCACTTATTCTCCAGCTATCATTCCAGAAGTACACAGACATCACTATTCAAATGATCCTCAAAACTACAACATCCCCATCAATCCTTCAAAGTGCAGGTACTGTATTTCTCGCCTCCAAAACTTGAGTCCAATTACCTTGTTACCACGAACCCCTTCACAAATTTTACTTTGCTCACACTTCAATAACAAGAAAATCTAAAAAATACGATCACAAAAGGCTGTTCGAGGCTCGAACCTCTACCACTTAAAATTACCACCCATCTTCCAACCTTCCCTGGCACATCCCCTACACCTACCAACCACCACAAATACATATATACAGGAGGGCCCCACGTACTCTGCTACCTTTTTTTGATGTTCCAAGTTTTCGTTGGCTTTCAACTGAGCTGTTATTCATCACGTTCAATGCTTTACTATTTTTCAGCCTTTCTGCACAACAGTTGTGTAAGGGAAGGGCGACTGGTGCCATATTTTAAGTATTGTATATACTGTGTATTTATTTTACCTTTTGTGCCTGTTTTTTATGCCTGGCTGTATTGAGTACTTAATATATATATATGATAGTGTAAACACGCTATCAGGCATTTTAGAAGCATCTGGTAATGAAAAAATGCTCTTTTCCATCCACTGGCGATTTTTGCTCACTGCACAGGTTCAGGAACCTAAGAGCCATACAAATGGGGCCCCTACCATTTAAACTCTCCTGGTCAAATAATCTTGCTTCACCCTTTTTAAAATAACAAACTATTTCAACATCCCCTCCCCTCCGAATGTAACTTTCATACTGTGTTCAGTCGAACCCTCAAATTCACAAGTGTTAAGTTTCTAGAGGTCCTGTATTATTTGTATTATAACCAAAAGAAAGTGCTAAGCCTTTAACCCTTTGACTGTCACAGGCCCCTTTCTGAAACTGTCATTCTATGTCGCAAAATATTCGAAAAAAAAATTATTTTTTCTTATCAAAATGTTAGAATTATTTTACTGAGTGTTTTAAGCCTAAAAAAAAATTTTTGCCATCAGTACTTAATGAAAAACAGAGGCGCAAAGTTGGCAGAAAATGAGCGGTGTATGGCAACAGCGGCGAATGACGCCCACCCGGTATTCTTTCATTTACCCCAATTCAAAGGTTTCTTGTATTTTCCAATATTTTTCTTTTCTAAGTAACTTATGTGGCCTGTGAAACCAAAGTAAGGTGTGCTGTTCAAATATACACTCATTGTTTACAACACAATAACTGAACAAACATTATCACTATTAGATTGTGTACAAAACTTGTTTACACAAACAATACAAAACATTGTTTATTACTTCTTTCTTTCTTTCAACACACCGGCCATATCCCACCAAGGCAGGGTGGCCCAAAAAGAAAAACTAAAGTTTCTCTTTTAAATTTAGTAATTTATACGGGAGAAGGGGTTACTAGCCCCTTGCTCCCGGCATTTCAGTCGCCTCTTACAATACGCATGGCTTACGGAGGAAGAATTCTGTTCCACTTCCCCACTGAGATAAGAGGAAACAAACAAGAGCAAGAACTAGAAAGAAAATAGAAGAATACCCAGAGGGGTGTGTATATATATGCTTGAACATGTATGTGTAGTGTGACCTAAGTGCAAGTAGAAGTAGCAAGACATACCTAAAATTGCATGTTTTATGAGACAACAAAAGACACCACAAACCTACCATCATGTAAAACAATTACGGTTTTCGTTGTCACTCACTTTGGGAGGACAGTATTTCCCGCTGGGTGGTTGCTGTTTTTCCAACCTACTACCTAAGTGTTTATTACTATTGTTCCCTAATTTTATATGCAAAAGTACAGTCACTGAACACTTTCCCAGAAAAAGCGCAGCTTGTGGAACTCTTTGAAACATGGGTATATGCAGAGTGGACTTGACACTCCTCACAATAAAACGAGGTCTCGCATGTTTGGGGCGTTTTTTGGTATGTCCCCCAAAACAAAACGCCCCTTCGGCACTTTCTTGAAAAAACAGTAGGGGCAGTTGTATGGGGTGTATCACCAGGCCTCAAAGGATGGCGGTGTTTGGGAATTTCAGGGGGCTGGTTTTGCAGGGTTGCTCCTTGGTACTTGGCAATTATTTGTCTGATGATGACAAACAAAATTCACCATATTTTGGTTTTGTTGTTGGTCCTCAATTGTATATGTATAAGCATTTAGCATGGAAAAAATCAACAAAATGGAAAAAAAAATTTCATTACACTTATAACCTTGCTACACAAACAGCAAACCCAATCTGCATTACTTTTTTCCATTAGTGCATATTGAGGTTGTAGTCCCTGAAGCTCAGGTTTTAGAATGGGTTCACTGTCTCTCTGCTGTGTGCCGTGTGTCCATTTCGTTTCGGGGAAATGATGTCAACAATGTGACATAATTTGTCAGCCCCCGAAATGCCATGATGTATTGGGACAAAGGCCCGCACCTCACCTCTGCGAGTGCCAGCTCGAACCTTGGGATATGTTTACGATTACCATGCACTGTGCCCAAAAGTTCTGCAGGTTTACTTTCGAAAACAGGGTTGGGGGGGTGGGACCCGTTTTTTTTTTTTTTTCCCCCCATTCCCCCGGATGGGAAAAAAAGTTTAATTTATCCCCTTCCAGAATGTTTCCACATTTTTTAAACCAAAATTTCACCCCTCCCAATAACTTCTTATCTCCAGATTAATCCAGGCCGGGGTTTTCCCAAACCCCAAAATTTTTTGCTCACACTAAACAAATAATTTTTTAAAAAAATTTTTCCCCCTTCTTTTAAAAGTAAATGCTTGAATAAACCCCTTTGAAAAAAATCCCACCCCCCCTCCAAAATTTTTAAAAAGCTTTCCCTAAGATTAAAATCTTGAACATTTGTTTTGTCCCTTTTCCCCCATTCCGACATAAAAAACCCCTTCCTCAGCCCCCTTTGGACAAAAGTTTTGGTAAAAAACCTCCCTAATTCCAAAATAAAACCTGTTTATTTAACCCCCAAATTTCCCAGAAAGTTGCCCCCGTTCTTTCACATTCATAAGCTTAATTGGGGGAAAAATTTACCCTTTTTCGTCAAGGAAAATTTTTGAAGTTTTTTATAATTTTTGCCCCTTCCCAAAGATATGGTTCCATCATTGTTTAACCACATCACCAAGATACCCAATAATTCCTGGTATATCTCAATGTATTACTCCCAGGTACACAATGATATCCAAAACCCAGACCATTTTTGCAATCACACAGTACAAATAACTTTATATCAAAGCTTTTCCTCTTGCTTGGTATGTATGTTTTGAATGAGTCTTCCTTTGAATAAAATCAAAGACTCCTCAATAAAAGCTTTCCTGAAGGGATAAAAATTTATGAACCTTTTGTTTCAGGTACATAAACACATTTCTGATTTTATAAAACCTGTCCTTCTGTCAGGTTTTTTGTCTGAAAAGTGTAAATTGTAACAGTATCAAAAAACATTCACACTAAAATGTCACTAAAAGGGGGTTGAAATCAAGCATTTATTGCCCAGTATGTGGTGCAGTGTGTTATACACATTGGATAAGCATTTTTGTGGCAAAAAAACAGGACATCCTGCTACAGTTGGGTCCTTCCATGGTTAGCGTGAATTTTTAAATAATTGTATTTGCCATGGTTTACTCATAGCATGTGTTTTTTTCCCCCAAAAATAAGGGTCCACAGGGGTTACTGAAGAAAAACTAAAAACATTCATTTCATAGCATTTTTCCAAATGTACAGGTGGGCCATTTCCCTTTTGTGTTTCATCAAATCAGGGGAGGGGAAACAAACTGTCCCCTTTCCTCCCAACCCCAGATGCGGTCGCTGGTGGGTTCTGGTTTTAAAACGGGTTGTGGTTGTGCGGGTTGGGGGAGTGGGGGTTTGGGTGGGGGTTGTAGTTGTGCAGAGTCGAAAGCGTTGGTAGTAGCGTGGCCGCTGCTTGCCACTGATCGCCCACCCATCACTATCACCACCACCACCTGCTCCCTTTCATCAACATATTCATAACCACAGTAAAAAACATTGTCATTTCACTATCAGGTCGTGGTGTAGGGCCACGGGTGTGCTCCGATTTACCCCTTCCCCTTGGAACAGCATATCACATACCAGACCGTCTATGTAAACATATCCCGCTTATGGGGAATATTCCCCTATGTGAAAACTAGAACTGTTTTTCAATAGCTCTGAAATCATATCGTTTCACTTTTCCCCACATTGGGGGCCTTGTAAGGGCAAATAGTTTCCTCTTTCATCCTGGTACGGGTAAACCCGAACGAGCGGCCCGCCCAGGGGGAAAGGGTCATGGGTCATTGGTTTTTCATCATAATTACATTATTGGCACTGTTTTTTGGGACCCCGCTTGAAAACCATGGGAAATTTACTTTCACTACCTTTCATTGCTGTTTGAGCTATCCTTGGGAATTAAAAACCCCCAATCCCCCGGGAAAAAATGAGGGGCTTCTTATTGAGGCATGGTGAAAAAAGGCCCCCAAGATGGCTTCCCACAATGCACCCCTGAGCCCAGATTTTTTTTTACAGGGTCACACCCCCACTCAGACCCTTTTTCTCTCATGTAGGGTACCAGCTTTTCCCCCTTGTTTGAAGTCGCTAGAATTTACGCGTATAAATGCCAGAAGCAGTGGGTAAGACTTATATACGACCCAAACAGTCAAAGGGTTTAAAAGGCTACAGCACTGCTAGAGGTCCTGTAAATCAGGACTTTTAAATAATATAAAATTTTGTTTGATATACCTTTGAAGGTTTTCAAAAGTTTTCCTACTCTTGCAGCCTGGCCCTGGGCCAGGCTTGTCTGGTGCTTGCCTGATCAGCCAGGTTGTTACTGCTGGCAGTCCATTGGCCCACAAATCCATCACAACCTGATTGATCTGGCACTGCATAATGAATTTTGTTTAAGATTTGGGTATGTTTTATGTTTCAGGTGACAGCTCTCTCTAACCATTGCTTTAATTTGTTAATATTAGCACTCATAAAAAAGAATAACCAGAAACAGATTTGGATGTTGCAGTTCAGAGGGTCATTTCATCTGTGATGTCTTCACACTTCTGGCGTAACAGCTACTGAATGAATGATGGGGGATGGTGTGCTAAAAAATCATTAAAAAGAATATACAGTACAGAAGGAGCATTGGTACTCTTTAGTTGAATTGAAGGGGCTCTGGCACCCTTCTTTGGTTGATAATTCAATTCAAAGTTTATTCTCTATAAGGATTACAATGCTGAGTTTACAGAATTTGGTTACTGTGTGGTTTACATGTAGTAAAATAATGATTACAGAGTGTACCACTAGAACACCTATAAAGATAAGATGAAGTGAGTATAACTAAATGCAACTGAAAAGTGCATCCTTATTAGTATAGTGCATGAAGAAAGCCTTGAAATATGTCAATATTGCACAATTTTGATAATTCACATCATAGATTTCTTCCCCTCTAAGCTACACCATGAATTTCTTTCCCTCTGACCCAAGTTGGGCCTATGGAGAATAGTGTTTGGAAAAACACAGATCCTCTACTCACACACTGCCTGCAGTTGCTTTTTGGGAATGTTATGTGTCAGTTTATCAAACAATTTTGGATCTTCAAATCACTCCATCTCTGAATAATAACCATGATGCCCAAGAGGAATACATTACTAGAGATGCTGGAGGTGCTAAGAAGAAAAGCATGTAGCTCGTATGGTATTAACCTTTTCAGGGTCGACAGGCCCTCTCAGAGACTTGTTCTCAGGGTCAGCCAAATTTCAAAAAAAAAAAAAAAAAAAAAAAATTTCTTATGAAAAGATAGAGAATCTTTTCCCGATCATAATGACACCAAAAGTATGAAATTTGATGGAAAACTTACGAAATTATGCTCTCACGAACTTAGTGGTCTCAACGATGTTTACGCATCGGCGATTTTGCTCACTTTGAGCCCTATTTTCGTCCAATTCCAGTGTACTTGTCGACAAAAATCATAACTATTTTGCTAGAACTCCATTTTTTCTACCAAATTTCAACTATCCAATAAAGTGGTCAGAATTTAGCAATTTTGCCAATTTCACACACAAATTTCAAAAGATGCCAATTTCCGAATAGGGTCCAGAATAAACAAGAGAGAGATTCCTGGTACTAAAATAACAGTTCCTCTGTTCATTAGTCACATCCCAGGTCCCTCTTACATTCTTTTGCTTTCCACTTTGAATTTTTATTCTCACAAAAAATAGAAGATTTACTGTTATGCAGACTACTGCATTGGTGTAGAAATGGTATAAATATTATCAGCGCACTTGTGAAAGAATATTAGACTCACCAGTTGACGTGTATTGGACGCATAGCATGATTTGTTTACTTTTGAACTTTGGTAAAAATCGAACATTTCTGCTACTTTGAGCGCAATTTCAAGGTAGTTTTCTTTGTAAAACCAGTCAAAATCATCTCAATTTCTGTAATATGTCTTCCATTCTATAAAATGAGATCAGAAAAACTAGAATACAGCAATAAATACCATACGAAAATACAGTGCAAAGTCACTGTTTTAATCAAAAACACGGTTCAAAGTTTTTATTTTCTCATTAAGCACTGTGTGCTGCAGGATTTTTTTTATACTGCACACACTGACCACATAGACCCATTCTTTCATATATAGGTCTACCAGCTTTCTCTCACTAGATTTGAGGGCGCTAGAATTTAGGCGTACTAGTACGTCAAAAACCTTGGTGTATAAGCCATACTAGTACAGCCGAAAACCCTGAAAGGGTTAAAGAGAGTGGAAATTTCTGGTAAGTCATGAAATGGTTCAAATGTGAAACAAACTGTTTGCATTTTGGTTTGAGAGAATCCACTATCTACATAATTAAGAGATAATGAGAAGAAAACAAGAGTTTTAAAGTGAATAGTGTAGATTGTGATGTGGGGAAAAGAATGTCAACAAGATCAATACAGCTAAACAAGGGAGAAATGTTACTGGATCTGTGGACTGAGAACAAAATAAGGGAGAGAGGCCCACTTAAAGCTCATATAATAAGGCACAAAGCCTTAGTGTGCTATAAAACTGTGGGAGAAGGAATAAGAACCTTCACAATAGTGTATTTTCAGTTCTCGATGATTTGAAAGCTTCAAAAGCAGAATCAGCTTCATAACATTTGGTTTATCATCAAGAGCACATCACCTGATTCATGCTGCCACAGGAAATTTCCCTTCAGACTTTACACAAATAATTTCTAAGAACAGTTACAGGTGCTTAATGATAATGAGTCAGGGTTATCTTGGAAGCATATACCATCAAGAATATAAATTAGCAAATATGAAAAATGCAGCAATTTCAATGTAGCTAAGGATTGCTTCACCTTGCTTCCTTGCATAAATGCAACAGGTGATTTGTACAAGTTAATGATAATTTATCATGCAGAAAACCCTCATGATTTAAAACATCAGGACAAAGCCTGTTTACTTGTTTTTAACACACTAATAATGCAGCACAGAAGACTGAGGCCTTGTCTGTTGATTCAAGCATTATTTTATTCCTGCAGTCAAAATAAATATATGCATATTAATGGCATACAAACCATGGACAGGATTGTAGAAGACATGCCGAGCATTTTTATGAGAGTTGCTGCCACCCACATCCCAGAGTTCCACAAAATAAGGTCGCTGACTTGGCGTTCCTTCGCGATACTCGTGAACACGAACCTCCACACTGCATCCAATTGTCCAAGAGGAATTGCTGAGGCACTGTCCATGGCATATTAAGTGAACTAAAGATGATTTACCCACTCCTGGAAAAAAATAAATTGTTTTAATATACTGTAACTACAAACTAGATGACTGGAATTACAAGTAAATAATCCTGCACCTGCCTACCTGGAGTTACCTGGAGAGAGTTTCCCGGTCTGTGACCAGGCCTCATGGTGGTCCAGGGCCTGATTAACCAGGCTGTTACTGCTGACTGCACGCAATCCAACATATGAGCCACAGCCCGGCTGGTCAGGTATCAACTTCAGGTGCTTGTCCAATCACATTGACTATCCTATGCCTTCACATTACACCCAAATAGTTTACCATACTACATAACTCAATATGATTGACACAGTATTAGCAAAATTACAAGATATCTACTTTCTGGATAGGCATTTTGTCACTGAAGGGAGGGAAAACAGACCTTGAGCAACATTATAATGAAAAGCAGGCATTTTTCAGTTGCTGTTGTTATAGAGCAAACAACAGCTAGAACCTCGTGTTTAGGTGTTCTTATACAATTTTTGGTGGTGATTTCAGAAACTGTTATCTGAATTGATAGGGACTGATATTTATTTTGCAAATTAAGCCTAAACCTGTCAAAGTGTCTTTTTTGGCATGATATAAACCATTTTTTCCCTGTCCTTATGTCTTTTTTCATTATTTTTTTTCAGTTTACTTGCAGTTGATCAGTTTAAGGCCCTTCTTAATACTGTGATTTTCCTTTGAAAATGAATTAGAACAGTATCTTTCCTGCTGTTCATACATTGTTAAAAAAAGCTTCGTGTTGCAAACATTCTAGATTCCCCACTGAACTTCAAACCTGAGCACTTACTTAACAGCTTTTGGTTTTCGGCTTCAAAATCCTTGAAAAACTTCAAACCTATTTTCTTTGCATAGAATTTCATAGAATGGCACTTTGTTGAATTGTCAGCTAGTCCAACAGCACATGGATCCAATTGCCCTGAGTTTGCTTCACTTCAGACCTTATAAGCTCTGCAGATTCCATTTTTTCTGTCTATAAAAAATAAAACTCTTTTCACTCATTCAGTTGAAATAAACATCAAGCAAACATAAAATCTGGGTATAAATACGTATTACAGCTCAAGTATACAAGTAAATGTTACACTGTAGAAAAAACACAAAAGTTTACTGAAATATTTTATTCAAATATATCATAATGAAACATGCAACAATGCACGAGCCAACTACATAAAATCAGTAACTTTTACAAAATTTTATGTTACGTTAATGTTTTCTCGAAAATCAGCACTTTTCTAACAACTTTAAGTTAATTTGCAAAATAAATATCGGTCCCTATCAATTCAGATGACAATTTCTGAAAATCGCCACTGAAAATTGTATAAGGACACCTAAACGTGAGGTTCTAACTGTTGATGCTCGTTAACAGCAGCTGAAAAATGTCCGACTTTCATTATAACTTTGAGCAAGCCAAAAATCACCTTATTTTAAGGTCTGCTTTCTTCCTTCAATGGCAAAATGCCTATCCAGAAAACAGATATCTTCTGGTTTAGAATCTGCTCTTTTAATGAAGTTTTTTTTTTTTTTTTTTTTTTTTAAGGAAAGTTGGTTGGCTGCTTTTTTACTATTGGTCTTCAAAAATGACCCTGAGGTCTGTGAGGGCATTTTTAGGTGCCATTAGCACAGGAAGTAAAAATGTTTGAAGTCTGATATTTTAGGATTGTGATGATGTCCACTTGGTTAGTTGGCTACATTAATGTCATACTAAAATACAGTGGAACCTCAAATATTGAACTGCTCCCAACTCAACCAATTATGTAAGTGAATTTTTGTAAGTGCTTTTATAAGTGTATTTTTGAGGGTCTGAAATGAACTAATCAAATTTACATTATTCCTGATGGGAATAAATTCGTACGGTAATGGCAATCTAACAGCCATCTGGAATGGAGAAAGTTTGATATTTGAGGTTCCACTGTAATGTTTTCCCTTTAGAAATATAAGCAGATGAATTCAAGATTCAATTTTACGTGACAGTTTTTTTTTTGCCTACTTTGGCTTCATACTGTGAAAAAAGTAAAAGCATGTAAGTTTTAGGACTGCAATTTTTGAAATCAGCTCCAAAGAAAGTTGTACGTATAGACATGTCTACTTACACAAATTTTGCTCTTCAAGATTTGCCACAGCAATAACCTGAACACTGTTGATTGTGTGCCACAGGTCGGTGAAATTTTCACGTGCCTCATTCTAAGGCCATAGAATTACTACTACTGCATATCATGAACTAAAATTTTGCCAAGTTAGTTTGATATATGCCAACCTTCATGTAAAATTTTATCGAAATTGGAGATGGTCAGGTGGGGACGATTTTCAAAATTGGTCCACTTGACACGGAATGACCCTACTGTCTTCAATAATCAATACTTTGTACATTAAAAGTTTATTAATTCTTCCAGTGGTTACAGCATGTATTACCTCTTCCTGTAAACCATTACACTGATCAGCCACTCTGTAAAGAAACACTTTTAATATGTACTGTATCTTTTCTGACAGGTCTTCTCCCTTAATTTATAGTTATGGCCTCTTGTGTTGGAGTATTTTGTATGTATATTCATATGTAATTTTCTCCATGGGTGAGTGGAAGAGAATTCTTCCTCCGTTAGCCTTGAGTATTGTAAGAGGTGACTAAAATGCCGGGAGCAAGGAACTAGTAACCCCTTCTGTATATATTATTGAAGTTTAACCTTTAAACTGTCCAAACGTAGATCTACGTTTTTTCAACATTTGAAAGCATGTAAAAAAAAAAAAAGAGATCTTTTTGTTTTTTTTACATTTGAAAACATGGAAAAAAAACTTTGATCTACGTTTTTTTGTTATAATTGAAAATATGTAAAAAACGTAGATCTACTTTTGGAGCACTATGCATGTGAACATAGATCTGTTTGGACAGTTTAAGGGTTAAAAAAGAAACTTTCATTTTTCTTCCTGGGCCACACTGCCTCAGTGGGATATGGCAGTTTGTTGAAAGAAAGAAGAAAGCTTAACATGTAATTTATGGAATGTTAATATATCCTACTTTTTTTTATACGTATATGCACTACTATTATCCTGCTCAATACTTAATTCTGTGTTTTTTATATTATCCTGTTTTTGTATATGACATTATCATATTTATTGTACTGAATATTATCTTCCTTGTATAACATGTATTTTTGATAATATCCTATCTTTTTAGTAACAACAAATCATTTTGCAATTATTATTATCACTACCATTATTATTAGAAGTAGGGGTGTGCCCAAGTATCGGTATCAGTGGTATCGGTATCTGCCTAAAATTGAGTATTGGTATCAATGAGTATTAACACTGAGTATTCATACTGGCAAAATTATTGGTACTGTCCCAACCCTAATTATAAGCACATTATCAGGTAACTCTGATGCAAACACTGTACTGATTATGAACTAAATCTCCTCTCTGATCTCTATAATAAGGTTTACTGCAGACCAAGTCAGCAATTATTATACATATACATCTACCCCAACAAAAGCTACAGTATCTTCAGCAACACTAAGAACATCTCAGTAGTTAACTACAATGTCAAATTTGAGGAATCATTGTAACATCAATGTGTTCATAGAGTCACTAAATGTAAATCTAATTTTCATTATTCTTCCAGTAACCTGGCTAAAACACGATATTATAGACATCCATAGACATCTATAACCTACCTGGGTACATCACTATATACATAACTGCAGACCTGATCTACACGTGTACACTTGTGAGATGAAATCTATTAACCCAACATGCACCAGAATCAAACTTGGGAAATACATATTTGCATAATTTACAACCCAAAAAATAAAGCCCCGAGTTACAACAGAAGCTGTCTACAGATCACCACATACCAACATAACCATCTTTGGTGATAATCCTAAACACTTAATCATGAACATTTACCCAGATACACATCACTTAATAATCACAAAAGACTAACATCAACCTCATCCAATCAGACCACCCACAAGTAGCTGATTTCCTAAATATACAAGAATGCTTCTAAATACTACCAATAACCAAGAATTCCTGCATCTAATGTGATCACATTTGGACAAATACTGTAGTTCCTCTATAAGAAGGCTTTATTACTGACAATAAAACTGATCATTACTTGACCTCTCTAGTCACTAACACAAAATCACTACTTGATACTAATAAGATGTCATTTAGGTTCCATGAAGAGGCATCAGCGAATAACTTTACAACAGAAGTCAGTAACAATGACTGGCAGAGAGAATTTAACAATAAAGACATAAATTTTATTTTTAACAGATCGGCCGTCTCTCACCAAGGTAGTACTAGTACGATTCAAATAGAAAAAACTTATTTAACATTAGCCCCTGCGTCCACATTTCCCTACAAAAAGTTAAAAGCTTCTATGACGAACACTATTATTCAAAACTCAAAAAGGTTACAACAGAGATTAAATAGCCCATGGCTAACCAAGAGCACTGTTAGATATTTTATTACATGGAGACTACACTTTGTATACTATACAAAGAAATAAAGTTGTTGTGTTTGTTTATTGACACAAAACATATATATAAAAACAATGCTGAGTTTAATACCAAAAGAATTAACAAAGAAAAAGTATGCAACAGTGCTCACTAAACTAATAAAGATATCCAAACTGCATTATGCTAACAAGCTTAATGAAAAGAGAGATAATAAAATTCCTGGAAAACTTTCTCACAAATACTGTACATACTTAGTTCAAGTAAATTTGTATTCTTTATAAAAAACCTGTAATAACAGTTATAAAACACTTCAAAAATTTATTCAGTTCATTAAGATAAGAATAAAACACTTCCTTTAAACTCACCCGAGTCTCCAACCACAAGAATCTTCACCTTGTTCATGGCATTTGCATGATTTGCCATTCTTCCTAATCTATGTAAGAATTACAGTAGCGTGTAGATTACCTGTCTTGTTTTAGGAGCTGTCATTTCAATGGTCATGCAAAAATTTTAACCTGGGGAGAAAATTAAAATGGAATTGATTCCACAGCATTTTATATGCAAGAGTATTACAAAGTACAGTGGACCCCCGCATAACGATTACCTCCGAATGCGACCAATTATGTAAGTGTATTTATGTAAGTGCGTTTGTACGTGTATGTTTGGGGGTCTGAAATGGACTAATCTACTTCACAATATTCCTTATGGGAATAAATTCGGTCAGTACTGGCACCTGAACATACTTATGGAGTGAAAAAATATCGTTAACCGGGGGTCCACTGTATACATATACAGTGACTTCTCAGTTTATGAATGAACTGTGTTCCAAGTGCTTTAACTTGTAAACAAGTTGCTTATAATCCTAAACTTATTACCCAACATAAAATGACAGTGATAAATGGTATAAAATACCAAAATGATGGAAAAATAGACACAAATGCAGTACAGTGCAATCCTTTGTTGACTTTTGTTTCACCCACACTGTGTGGGCAAAATGTAATCAATAAAAGATTGCATTGTGTCTATTTTTTTATAAAACGATTGTTCAATGCAAGATGCATCATACATGTTCAAAACTGTGAATTGGTATTTGTAAAATAATTATTTCCCCAATAATATGACTGGGCCCTCTTTAGTAGATGTACATCATTGTAACCCATCTGTTCATAATTCAGGAATCCCCTGTAAAGCAGGATCAATAATAATAATAATAATAATAATAATAATAATAATAATAATAATAATAATAATAATAATAATAATAATAATAATAAAGAATAAAATAAATAATAATAATAAATTCATAAGCACTCAAACACCAATCCACAAATGCAATATAAAAAATGAAGAAGAAATACTGAAGTTTATATTCAAAAGTGACAGTATGATCATCAAAATCATAAGCTCTGGAAAAAAGAGATGTGTTTTCAACTGCGACTTGAAAGCATGAATAGGTTTCTAATTCTTAACAGACACTGGCAACCTGCTGAGCAATCAGTAAGCTGCATAAGAAAATGCTCTTTCTGTGAATGATTTCTTCCCAACAGCATCAAGGTTAATCAGTCTAAAAATGTCCATGTAATCTTCAGACACATTCCCGAGCCACATGTAATGAGCACAAGCACATCAACAAAATACTCAGGCTCAATAAATTTACTAGTTTTAAATGTTAATAAGAATAGTATAAACTCAATTCTTGCCTTGATAAGGAGCTAATGCAGTTCATACCAATCTAGCTGCATGATTTAATACAGATTTTAGTCTTTTTGAAACAACTATATGGATGAAAACCAAGATATTCGGCTTAGCAAGATCTTTTCTAACTGCATAGATTAAGAATATAAAAAATTATGATTTAACAATCTGCTTCATATGTTCAACAAATGACAATGAAGAATCCAGGTATGATATACCAGGTTTATCATCATAAAAATTAATTTATTGTCATGTGAACAGGGGCAACAGGTCTAAGGAAACCTGCCTAACATTTCCATTTGAGCTGCAATCAAACCTGGGTCCTTCTGCTGTTAGCAGAAGAGGCTACTGCTTGAACTGCAAGCCCCTAATGTAAGGCAATCAAACAAAAAATAAACCACAAATGCTATTATGCTGATGCAAAGCAGACCTAATTACTAGAAGTCAATATCCTTATTTAATGCCATCAAACTTTGTGCTTAATCAGTCTAATAATATTTACACTATGTACATATTTCCCTAAAAATAATCTTTAATTTTGTTTCTACCTTATTAATTACACCATGTTCCTTTATTTTTAAAATCACTGAATAATCTTTTATGTGGAGTAAAATAAAGGTTGGATGTGAGAAGTGGGTTATAGTAAGTGTATATGCACCTGGGGAAGAGAGAAGTATAAAGGAGAGAGAGAGACTTTGGGAAATGTTGAGTGAATGCATGGGGAGTTTTGAACCAAGTGTGAGAGTACATGTGGTTGGGGATTTTAATGCTGAAGTGGGTAAAAATGTTGTCGAGGGACTAGTAAGTAAATTTGGGGTGCCAGGGGTAAATGAAAATGGAAAGCCTTTAATTGAGCTATGTGTAGAAAGAGGTTTGGTAATAAGTCATACATATTTTATGAAAAAGAGGACAAATAAATATATAAGGTATGATGTAGCACGTAATGAAAGTAGTTTGTTAGATTATGTATTGGTGGATAAAAGGTTGATGGGTAGGCTCCAGGATGTACACGTTTATAGAGGGGCAACTGATATATCTGATCATTATCTAGTTGTAGCTACAGTTAGAGTAAGAGGTAGATGGGATAAGAGGAAAATGGCAACAACAAGTAAGAGGGAGGTGAAAGTGTATAAACTAAGGGAGGAGAAAGTTCGGGTGAAATACAGTGGACCCCCGGTTCATGAAGTCATTGGTATCCGATAAATCCGGTATCTGAAGCATTATATCACAAAAAATTTGCCTCGGTTCCCATTACAAAACCCGGTACGCGATACGATTCGTCGATTCGTACGAGACGTGTCCACGTATGGCCTGAACTGCCCAGTGTGTGCCAGTGTTTACAAGCCAGCCAGTGTGCGCGCATCTAAGGATACATTCGGTACATTCCATATTATCCATATTATCACTGTTTTTGGTGCTTATTTCTGCAAAATAAGTCACCATGGGCCCCAAGAAGCTTCTAGTGCCAACCCATCGAGACCAAGGGTGCTAATGACTATTGAAATGAAGAAAGAGATAATTGCAAAGTATGAAAGTAGAGTGCATGTGTTGGACCTGGCCAAGCTGTATAGTAAATCCCAATCAACCATCTCTACTATAGTGAGCAGGAAAACAGCAATCAAGGAAGCTGTTTTTGCAAAAGGTGCACTGTGATTACAAAACAGCGATCGCAAGTGTTAGAAAATGTTGAGAGGACTGTTATTGGTGTGGATAAATGAAAACAGATAGCAGGAGATAGCATCTCTCAAGCAATCATTTGTGAAAAGGCTAGGCAGTTGCATGAGGATTTAATTAGAAAAATGCCTGCAACTAGTGGTGATGTGAGTGAATTTAAGGCCAGCAAAGGTTGGTTTGAAAGATTTAAGAATCGTAGTGGCATACATAGTGTGATTAGGCATGGTGAGGCTGCCAGTTCAGACCAAAAAGCAGCTGAAAAATATGTGCATGAATTCAAGGAGTACATAGAAGCTGAAGGATTGAAACCTGAACAAGTGTTTAATTGTGATGAAACAGGCCTGTTTTGGAAGAAATTGCCAAGCAGGACTTACATTACTCAGGAGGTAAAGGCACTCCCAGGACATAAGCCTATGAAAGACAGGCTTACTCTTCTGATGTGTGTCAATGCTAGTGGTGATTGCAAAGTGAAGCCTTTATTGGTGTATCACTCAGAAACTCCCAGAGCGTTCAGGCAAAAGAATATCCTCAAGGCTAATTTAGTGTGTGCTGTGGAGGGCAAACAATAAGGCATGGGTCACTAGGGACTTTTTCTATGACTGGTTACACCATGCATTTGCCCCCACTGTGTAAAATTACCTAATTAAAAAGAAATTAGACCTTAAGTGCCTCCTGGTGTTAGACAGTGCCCCTGGTCATCCTACAGACTTGGCAGAGTGACTTTGTGGGGACATGAGCTTCATTAAGATGAAGTTTTTGCCTCCTAATACCACTCCTCTCCTGCAGCCCATGGACCAGCAGGTCATTTCCACTTCAAGAAACTGTACACAAAGCTATGTTTGAAAGGGTGCTTTGAAGTGACCACAGATACTCTATTGACCCTAAAGGAGTTTTGGATGGATCACTTTAATATCCTCAATTGTGTAAACCTTATAGGTAAGGCTTGGAGGGACTGACTAAGAGGACCTTGAACTCTGCTTGGAAGAAACTGTGGCCAGAATGTGTAGACAAAAGGGATTTTGAAGGGTTTGAGGCTAAACCCTGGGAATCCTATGCCAGTTGAGGAATCCATTGTGGCATTGGGAAAGTCCTTGGGGCTGGAGGTTAGTGGGGAGGATGTGGAAGAGTTGGTGGAGGAGGACAACGATGAACTAACCACTGATGAGCTGCTAGATCATCTTCAACAGCAAGAGGCCAGACCTGAGGAAACTGCTTCGGAGGAGGGGACAGAGAAATTGACGAAGTTGCCTACTTGAAAGATTAAGGAAATGTGTGCAAAGTGGCTTGAAGTGCAAACCTTTTTTGATGAAAATCACCTCGACACAGCTACTGCAAGCTGTGTTGGCAACCTGTACACTGACAATGTTGTGAACCACTTTAAGAAAGTCATAAAGGAACGAGAGGTACAGGCCTCTATGGACAGATAGTATGTTGTGCGACAGAAGTCCAGTGACTCTCAAGTTGGCCCTAGTGGCATTAACCCTTTGACTGTCGCGGCCGTATATATACGTCTTACGAGGTACCGTGTTTGACGTATATATACTCATAAATTCTAGCGGCTTCAAATCAAGCAGGAGAAAGCTGGTAGGCCCACATGTGAGAGAATGGGTCTGTGTGATCAGTGTGCACCATATAAAAAAAATCCTGGAGCACGCAGTGCATAATGAGAAAAAAAAAACTCCGACCGATTTTTTTAATTAAAATGCCGACTTTGTGGTCTATTTTCGTATAGTATTTATGGTTGTATTCTCGTTTTCGTGGTCTCATTTGATAGAATGGAAAACATATTATAGAAATAGAGGTGATTGCGATTGATTTTACTATAAAAAGAACCTAGTAATGGAGCTCAAAGTAGGGGAAATGTTTGATTTTTGCCAATGTTCAAAAGTAAACAAATGATGCCATTGTCCAATAAATGTCCAACTAGCCATTCTAATATGCAGTCATGAATGGGTTGATGTTATTTATACAATTATTACAGTATTGCAGTAGTCTGCATAATAGTAAGTCTTCTATTTTTTGTTTGAATAAAAATTCAAAATAGAAAGCAAGAGTAATATCAGAGGGGCCTGGAGACATGACTGATGAGCAAAGAAAATGTTATTTTAGAGCCAGGAATGTCTGCATTGTTCATTCTAAAACCTTATTTTGAAAATGTCATATTTTTTAGTTTTCGTGAAATTGGCCAAATTGCAAATTTCTGACCACATTATTAGGTAGTTGAAATCGGTAAATGGGCAGTTTCTTGTACTAAATTTCAATAGCAAAAATGGAGTTCTAAAGAAATAGCTATGAGTTTGGGCGACTGGAACAATGGAATTAGCCGAAAATAGGGCTCAAAGTGGGCAAAATCGCCGATTTGTAAACAGAGCCGAGGTCACTAACTTCGCGAGAGCATAATTCTGTCAGTTTTCCATCAAATTTCTTTTTTTTTTTTGGTGTCATTACAATCGGGAAAAGATTCTCTATCATTTCATAAGAAAAAATTATTTTTTTTTTTTTTAAATTTTGCGACACCAGGAGACACCTCAGGATTGGGGGTTGCGACAGTCAAAGGGTTAAAAGATGAAGGGAAGTAACCCCGGAAAAGGACTTGCTACCTCAAGTCCTAATGGAGGGGGATTCCCCTTCTAAACATTAAAAAATTCAACACTCTCCCTCCTCCCATCCATCAATCATCACCAGATCTTCATTAAAGGTAAGTGTCACAATTATTCTATTGTGATTATTCTATGTTATTATTGTTCTTGTAATTATTTCTTTTGCATTAAACCTAATATTTCATGTGGTAAACTTTTTTTTTTTCATACTTTTGGGTGTCTTGTACGGATTAATTTGATTTCCATTATTTCTTAGGGGAAAATGATTCGCTTTCCGATAATTTTGCTTTACGATGAGCTCTCAGGAACAGATTAATAACGTGAACCGGGGGTCCACTGTATAAGCAACTATCGACAGAAAGGTGGGCTGGTGCAGGTATAAGTATACGGGGGGGAGGTTGAAGAGGGTTGAATAGCTTTAAAAATGCAGTACAGTGGACCCCCGCATAACGATGGCATCACATAGCGATTATTTCGCATACCGCTTACTTTAATTGCAAAAATTTTGCCTCACATACCGCTTAAAAACCGCTTACCGATTTTCTTCCGAGACGCGCTCACATGTTTCCCCGGTGGCATTGTTTACCAGCCAGCCTCCGCGGTAACATCCAAGCATACAATCGGAATATTTCGTATTATTACAGTGTTTTCGGTGCTGTTTCTGGAAAATAAGTGACCATGGGCCCCAAGAAAGCTTCTAGTGTCAACCCTGTGGTAAAAAGGGTGAGAATTAGTATGGAAATTTAAAAAAGATTTTGAAGGTTTGGGGCTAACCCTGAGAAGCCTATGCCAGTTGTGGAAAACCATTGTGCCTACTTCAAAAATTAAGGAAATGTGTGCACAGTGGGTTGAACTGCAAACCCTTTATGGATGAAAATCACCCTGACACAGCTGTTGCAAGCCGTGCTGGTGACTATTTCAATGACAATGTTGTGGCCCATTTTAGACAATCGTAAAGGAACGGGAGGTACAGAGCTCTATGGACAGATTTGTTGTGCGACAGAGGTCCAGTGACTCTCAAGCTGGTCCTAGTGGCATTAAAAGAAGAAGGGAAGTAACCCCGGAAAAGGACTTGCTACCTCAAGTCCTAATGGAAGGGGATTCCCCTTCTAAACAGTAAGAAGATAAGCTCTCCCTCCTCCCATCCCATCAATCATCACCAGATCTTCAATAAAAGTAAGTGTCATTTAGTTGTGCATGCCTTTTTCAGTTTGTGTGTATTAAAATTAACATTTCATGTGGTAAAAAAAAATTTTTTTCATACTTTTGGGCGTCTTGCACGGATTAAATTTTATTTCCATTATTTCTTATGGGGAAAATTCATTCGCATAACGATTATTTCGCATAACGATGAGCCCTCTTGCACGGATTAAAATCGTTAACCGGGGGTCCACTGTATTAGAATGTGGGGCAGAAGTTTGTGGTTATAGGAGGGTGGGTGCAGGAGGAAAGAGGAGTGATTGGTGGAATGATGAAGTAAAGGGTGTGATAAAAGAGAAAAAGGTAGCTTATGAGAGGTATTTACAAAGCAGAAGTGTTATAAGAAGAGTAGAGTATATGGAGAGTAAAAGAAAGGTGAAGAGAGTGGTGAGAGAGTGCAAAAGGAGAGCAGATGATAGAGTGGGAGAGGTTTCTGTCAAGAAATTTTAATGAAAATAAGAAAAAATTTTGGGGCAAGTTAAACAAGTTAAGAAAGCCTAGGGAACAAGTGGATTTGTCAGTTAAAAACAGAGTAGGGGAGTTAGTAGATGGGGAGATGGAGGTTTTGGGTAGATGGCGAGAATAGTTTGAGGAACTTTTAAATGTCGACGAAGAAAGGGAGGCGGTAATTTCATGCACTGGCCAGGGAGGTATACCATCTTTTAGGAGTGAAGAAGAGCAGGATGTGAGTGTGGGGGAGGTGCGTGAGGCATTACGTAGAATGAAAGGGGGTAAAGCAGCTGGAACTGACAGGATCATGACAGAAATGTTAAAAGCAGGGGGGGACATAGTGTTGGAGTGGGTTTGGGATTTTTGTTTAATAAATGTATGAAAGAGGGGAAGGTACCTAGGGATTGGCAGAGAAACATGTATAGTCCCTTTATATAAATGGAAGGGGGACAAAAGAGATTGTAAAAATTATAGAGGAATAAGTTTAACTGAGTATTCCAGGAGAAGTGTACGGTAGGGTTATTATTGAAAGAATTAGAGGTAAGACAGAATGTAAAAATTGCAGATGAGCAAGGAGGTTTTAGAGTGGGTAGGGGATGTATAGATCAAGTGATTACATTGAAGCATATATGTGAGCAGTATTTGGATAAAGGTAGGGAAGTTTTTATTGCATTATGGATTAGAAAAGGCATATGATAGAGTGGATAGGGAAGCAATGTGGCAGATGTTGCAAGTATATGGAATAGGTGGTAAGTTACTAAATGCTGTAAAGAGTTTTTATGAGGATAGTGAGGCTCAGGTTAGGGTGTGTTAGAAGAGAGGGAGACTACTTCCCGGTAAAAATAGGTCTTAAGCAGGGGTGTGTAATGTCACCATGGTTAATATATTTATAGATGGGGTTGTAAAAAAGTAAATGCTAGGGTGTTCAGGAGAGGGGTGGGATTAAATTATGGGGAATTAAATACAAAATTGGGAAGTGACACAGTTACTTTTTGCTGATGATACTGTGCTTTTGGGAGATTCTAAAGAAAAATTACAAAGGTTAGTGGACAAATTTGGGAGTGTGTGTAAAGGTAGAAAGTTGAAAGTGAACATAGAAAAGAGTAAGGTGATGAGAGTATCAAATGATTTAAAGAAAAAATGGATATCAAATTGGGGAGGAGGAGTATGGAAGAAGTGAATGTTTTCAGATATTTGGGAGTTGACATGTCAGCGGATGGATTTATGAAGGGTAAGGTTAATCATAGAATTGATGAAGGAAAAAAGGTGAGTGGTGCACTGCATATGTGGAGGCAAAAAATATTATCTATGGAGGCAAAGAAGGGAATGTATGAAAGTATAGTAGTACCAACACTCTTATATGGGTGTGAAGCTTGGGTTGTAAATGCTGCAACAAGGAGGCGGTTGGAGGCAGTGGAGATGTCCTAAGGGCAATGTGTGGTGTAAATATTATGCAGAAAATTCAGAGTGTGGAAATTAGGAGGTGTGGAGTTAATAAAAGTATTAGGAAGAGGGCTGAAGAGGGTTTGTTGAGGTGGTTTGGTCATTTAGAGAGAATGGATCAAAGAAGAATGACATGGAGAGCGTATAAATCTGTAGGGAAAGGAAGGCGGGGTACAGGTCGTCCTCGAAAAGGTTGGAGGGAGGGGGTAAAGGAGGTGTTGTGGGCGAGGGGTTTGGACTTCCAGCAAGCGTGCATGAGCGTGTTAGATAGGAGTGAATGGAGACAAATGGTATTTGGGACCTGACGATCTGTTGGAGTGTGAGCAGGGTAATATTTAGTAAAGGGATTCAGGGAAACCGGTTATTTTATATAACCGGACTTGAGTCCTGGAAATGGGAAGTACAATGCCTGCACTCTAAAGGAGGGGTTTGGGATATTGGCAGTTTGGAGGCATATATTGTGTATTTTTATATGTATATGCTTCTAAGCTGCTGTATTCTAGGCACCTCTGCAAAAACAGTGATTATGTGTGAGTGAAGTGAAAGTGTTGAATGATGATGAAAGTATTTTCTTTTGGGAATTTTCTTTCTCTTTGGGTCACCTGCCTCGGTGGAGACACCCTACTTGTTGAAAAAAAAAAAAAATCTTTTAATATATATTTTTAATAAACATTTTGTCAAAGGTTACTTAAAAGGTAATTTGGGCAGTGACCAGTTTATAGAGTAGATCAGGCTAGGTTCAGTTACATTTGGCAACATAAACCTATGAATTATTATATTTAAGGCAAGAGCTAAACCTGTATGGGGGTTATACTATGCCTGAGGAATAGGAGACAATCAGGTTCAATACAAGGAAGGGGAGGACAAGTGCAGTTTCTTGGATCAAAAACTATTATTACATTTATGAGGTCGCAGAGTGCCCTGGTGGGGGATGGGCAATAAAAGACCTTCAATTTTGATCCAAGGAAGGGAAGAGTATATTAAATTCCTTAAGCCAGTATTAAGGAACCTCTGAAGGCTCATACGATGCATAGCATTGTATAGTTAACAATAAAATAAATAAACAATACATAAACAACTTTATTTCTTTGTGTAGTAAACAAAGTGTAGTTTACATGTAGCCAAATATTGTTAAGCACAAGGTAAGCCACTAGCATGCATGTGCATTTCTGGTAGACTAATCCTAATGCTTACAGACTACTTATGATTAGACACAGGTTACTGAGTGGTAAAATTTTAATTAAGTATGTATTATTATAAAAAGAGAGGTAGCAAAATATTATAATTAGTATAATTTAAAAATAGAGGGGTAGCAAAATATTACAAGTAGTACAAATTACAACTGTACAATAGTACAATTTTGAGTGTGTATTAATACTTTAAACTGATTTAATGACCTTAAGTTATTTGGGATTTATTTAGTAAAACATTATACTCTTATTTCTTCATCGTCTACAGACGATTGGTTGCATGGTTATTTATTGGATGTGAGGACACAAGTTTATATATAAGTTTCACGCATCACTTGCAACTACTGGGCACTACAGTGCCCCGTGGCCTGGTCACTAAAGTTCTTGCTTCACACGGCGAGGGTCTGCGTTCGATTCCCAGCGAGGGTAGAAACATTGGGCGTGTTTCTTTACATCAGTTGTCTATGTTCACCTGTCAGTAAAATGGGTACCTGGGTGTTAGTCGATGGTGTGGGTGGCATCCTGGACAAGGACCTAATTTGCTTGAAATGCTCTGCACAACAAGGGGCTTTCTTTATAGCATGTCATTGATGTCAGCTAGGCTTGTATACCTTGTACATGTACTTGTACTAAATAAAGATTATTATTATTATTATATTATTATGTAGAATTTAACCTAAAGTAACCCAGGTGAAACAAAGTGACAATTTCATCAGGGTCCAGCACAATGCTTATTAAAAATAAAAAAAAATAAAAAAATAATTTCTTTGCAAGATTACATTGAGTTTATGAAATTACAATAATGAGTTGGAGTGCAAAGAGCCACTATCATGCCTAGGCATTATGGGCAGACTTAATTTAATGGTTTACAGACTACAAAGTACTAAATAAATTTATCATAGTTTGTTTAACTTGCACATCTGTTTTTATTTATAATAGACGTTAATTGTACTCAAATTACAATAGTTTCAATAATAAATATTGATATTATATTATGGGAATATAACATTGTGAGTTGTTGAAAGTAGTTTGAGAATGCTACAACTGGGTGTAAGGCAGTATTGTTTTGGATAGTATTTTTATACTACAATGTAGTATATTAATCAATGTAAGAACTTCGGGCATCTTGTTTTGAAGTTTTAGGATTTAAGTAATTGGGTGATTTTTTGGTAAAGCTAACATCAATAATACTCTTATCTTTAGATTATTATTATTATAATCAAAAAGAAGCGCTAAGCCACAAGGGCTATACAGCTCACAAAAGATTATAGAGGCACATAATGGGTCCAGGGAATAGCGTCAAATTTTGATAGCTGACAAGTTTGTGATAATGAAGTATTTACATGCTTATTTCTGGTTTACAATCGTAGAGTTATTTTTGTAGACATGAATTGTCACACACACAATACACGATGTTTTTGTTCTATATATGTTAAGACGACGACCCAATGGAAATAAGTCACTGACTTCTTTGGGGTTATGCTTGGTAATTTACACGTTACTATATGTATATTAATTGTAATAACCTAAAACATGTGAAATTATACTTCCGTGTAACTGTACCTATAAACTTACACTTTCCTCAATGTTTGTTGGGTTTATCAGGGCCACTGACAGCTTACGTAGTATCGAGCCCAACTTCCCTATTTTAGTAGAAGAGAGAAGCTGACGACGACGTTTCAGTTCGACTTGGACCATTTACAAAGTCACGGAATTGTGCCTTTTTTGTTACGTAAGTAAGTAATTTATTCAGGTATACACAAATATAGTTATATAGATGATCATACATAGCAGCATGTGTGTAGAGAACCTATGATAACCCAAAAAAAGTCAGACAAAGTGACTTATTTCCAGTGGGGTTTTTGAGATTGCTAGTTTTCGGTACGGTCGCTACTCCTATACTTTCCTGTTCTTTCATGGTTGTCAAAAACATCACCCAAAAAAAAAAATTATATTTCATTACCCCAACTCAACCACTTCATAATATGTTGGTCGCTAAAGCATTATTCAAATTCAAATTCATTTCAGTGAATCTAATTTATACAAACCAAGGGATATATTCATGTATTCAAAAATGATTTTTTTTATGAAACATGATTCAGGAGTAGTTTACAGTATGAGAATGATACAGATCGGTGAAGGTCAATACTGGTTTTGGTAGGTATGTATACTTCTGTGTGGTAATTTGTCAATATATGAGCTTGGTTGTCTGGTTATGAAGTTTTAAGATTTAGGTAATTGGTAGATTTATTGGTAAAGTTAAATATTGAGTATTGTGTATTAGTCTAGGGTGATTAAGTGGCTTTTGAGAAGAGTCTTAAATTGATTTCAGACCGGATTACTTTGGTATTTTCTGGTAATGCATTCCAAAATTTTGGGGCCCTTTGTGTCCATAAAAATTTTTAACAGCGTGATTTTGGACACGGGGTACTCAGAAAGAGATCTGTGTCCTGTGTTGTGGTCCTGTGTTTGGTCATGTGTCCTGTTAAAGTTGGTGAGGAAAAGTTTGAGTGGAGGGTTTATGTTGCCCTGTATTGTTCTATGTTTGTAGTAGGCACATAATAAATATGGATGTTTATGGTGAGCGTTTTGACTTGAATACTGGTGGGAGCTGTCGGGATGGGGGAAATTTTAAACCCAATTCCCCAAAAATTTTTTACACAAATTTTTTTTTACATACAAAACAACCCATAATTAAAAAAAACCTTTTAAAATACTTTTTGTCCTTAAAAAAAGAAAGTTTTTTTTTGGGTTTTAAGAGTTTGATTTGCTTATATTTTTTTTCGGGCAAAATTTAAAAAAAAATTTTTAAAACCCTTTTCCCATTCCCTTTTTTCTAATTTTTAAAAATTGCCCCAAAACAAAAAATTTTCTTTTCCGTTTTTAATTTCCCCCTTTTTAAATTGAGAAAGTTATTTTATTTTTTGGGTATTTTTTTGTTTGTAATAATATGTTTGGTTTTATTTATGGAATTTTAAAATTAAAAATTTTAACCGGGGGGATAATTTTTAAATCTATTTTTTTCCCCCTTTTATTACTGGTTTTAAAATTTTGGGTTTTCCCCCCAAAAATTTTCCCCCTTTTAAACAAAATAAAAATCGGGGGTTTTTTTGGGCCCCCTTTTATTAAAAGGCCTTTTGGGGAAAATTTTAATTTTAACGTATACTTAAAAATTCCCCGTTAAAACGTGGGGGGGATTTTTTAATTTTGGGGGAAACTGGTTTTGTTTTTAAAGTTTTTTTTTTTTTTTTTGAATTGAAACCCAGAGTAACCCCTGGAGGGGGGGGGGGGGGGGGGGGGCCTTATCAAAAACCCTGTTTGGGGTGGGGAAATTTAAATTTTGGGAAATTTTAAGGGTTTTGGTCTTGGATTGTGGTTTGAGGAAAAAAAGGGGGAAATGTAAGGACCCCTCCCTGGGGGTCCACTGTGAGGGTTGGGTGGGGGATTTGAATTTTGTCAAAAGGCTTTTTTGTTTGGATGACTTTTTTTTAGTTGGGGGTGGTTTAAAAATGTATTTTTAATTTTTAAGGTTAGTACTTATAAAAAGCTTTTGAAAAAAAAAATTTCCCCAAGACTTCTTTTGGACATTAATTTTTTTGGGGAAAAATTTGGACATTTGTCTTTATTTTTTGTCCCTAAGGGGGTTTGATTTTAGTAAGGATTTGGTTCCTTATGTTAAATTTTTTAAATTTTTTAGGGGATTAAGTTAGAAATTGGTTTTTAATTCTTTCAGTTGGCCCCCCCTTTGTTTGGGAGGATTTATTTGGTTTTTATGGGGATCAATGGTTTGAAAATGTTAAATAAAGGTAAATATTCTTTTTTGAAAAAAATTCAAGTTTTAATTTTGTTTTTTAAAAGGGTTTTTTAGTAGGGTTTTCTTTTTGGTTTGGGGGAGGAAAATTTGTTTTTAAAAAATTCTGGTGACTTAAAGGATTTTAGTGTTGAAATAATTAAAATTTTTAACTACTTTTTTAAAAATGAATTTTTATTCTTTTTTAGGGTTAAATAAAATTTCTTTGGTTGAGCTAAAATATTATTAAAAATGCGGGATAATAAAAGGATTTGTAAAAATTTTTAAAATAAAAAAAATTAACAAGTTTTGTTTAAGGTAAGGAAGTAAAACCTTTAAAAATAAAATTAAAACTTTCCACTGTTTTTTCCTTTTTACCCCCTACCTTTATAAAAAAAATAAGGTAATACGGTTTTTAAAAAAAATAAATATTCCCTTTTTTTTGTTTTTGAAATTTGAAAGTGAGAAATTTTACTTTATTTAAAATTCAAAAGAGAAAAAATTTTCTCCTAATTATTAACTCCCCAAAGGATTTCCATAAAAAATTCCCCTTACTTTTTTTTATTTTAATTTGGTTTAATTGGGGATTAAATGGGAAAATTTGGGTTATTTAGAGAAGAAGGGTGGCTCTCAGTTTTTTTGGTGGTCACATCCCCCCCCTTTTAAACCCCCATCCGTTATTAATAATGCCAAATTTTAAAAGGAGTAAAAAATGGAAGGTGGCCAGGGCCCCATTTTTTTGGGTCCCCCCCAAAATTTTCTTTCAATACCTGTTATTCCCATACCCTGCTTTATAAACGATTTTTTTTTTTTTTTTAAAACTTTTGCGCATTTGTCAAAATTTTCTCCTGAATACCCCTTTATTCTTTTCTGTTTTCCAAACTACCCCCTTAATTCTTTTTCAAATTCTTTGGTCTTTCGGCCTTATTTTTTATAAATGTTTTATCCCTTTATTTTGTCTCTTCCGTATTTTTCTAATAAAAGTTTTTTTGAAAAGGGAGAAAATTCTCGAAAAAAATTTGAAATTAAAAGCCCGGGAAAGTATTTTTCCCTCCTTACTTTTTTTGGGGGTTTATTGAAAATTTAAAATTTTTTTAATTCTTTAACAGGAGATCCCACCGGGGGGGGTTTCCCCGGAAAAAGAAATTTCCCTTTTACTTTTTTTAAACAGGGAAGATTTCCCACCCCCTTCAAAAAAAATTTTGGAAATTTTTCATTTGTATAATAAAAAATTTTCCTGGCTTATAAATGAAATTTTAACTGATTCTTGTATAAAACCAATTTCTCTAAGGGGATAATTAAATTTTTAAATTCAGTTTTTTTGGGCCCCAGAGTTTTAAAAAAAAACTATTTTTAAAAATTTTTTTGCATTGTTCTTCCAACTTTAAGAAACCCTTATTGTTTTATTTTTGATGGACTTTTTTTTCATTTTTTTTTTAAAATTTTTTAAAAAAAAATTTTTTGTTTTAAAATTTTCCCCAATTTAAAACTTGAATATTTATTTTTTCTTTTTCCCTCCTAACACTTGGCAACCCCCCCCCCCTTTTTGGCTCCTTTTCCCCAACTGGCAACCTTTTCCCCCCCCCTGGTTTCCTCCCCCCAAAACCTGCCAACCTTCCCACCCCTTCTCCCCCCAACTGCCACACCCAATCTGCCAAAAACCCATATCTCCCCCACCCTAT